GGGAGGGTAGAGGGGAATTGTGCATGTGGTTAGGATTGGGGCTGGCCCGTCATTTAAGTTTTTGCTACAGTAATTATAAAAACCCAGTTAATGCTTACTGGGCCTACTTTTTGGCTCAAATAGTCCTTGAAAAGTTTTACCCTTCATGAGCTGTCATTATGACTAATGGCTGTTTCTTGAAAAGAGTTCCTAAATTCCAAAGATGCACCACTTGTAGGTGTAGGCAGCAGAGTTACTGGCTTCTTAACATGATCATGATAGGAATACATATTCCTTGTATTAGTCCCTGCTGTTGTTAAGTGCCATCGAGTCAGTTCTGACCCATAGTGGCCCTATGAACAACAGACCAGAACCCTGCCTGGTCATATGCCATCCTCACAATTGTTCGAGCCCATTGTTGCAGCCACTGTATCAGTGCATCTTGTCAAGTGCCTTCCTCTTTTGTTGCCCCTCTCCTTTACCAACATGATGTCTTTCTCTCCTGATAAATATGGCCAAAGTGCTTGAGACGAGGTGTCACCATCCTTGCCTCTAAGGAGCATTCTGGCTATACTTCTTCCAAGGCAGATTAGATTGTTCTTTTGGTAGTCCACGAGATTTTTTACACTCTTCGCCAACACCATTATTCAAATGTATTGATTTTTCTTTTAGCTATCTTACTCAATGTCCAAACTTCACATACATATGAGGCAGGGATCCTCAAACTTTTTTAACAGGGGGTCAGTTCACTGTCCCTCAGACCCATTGAAGGGACGGACTATAGTTTACGAACAAACTCCTATGCACACTGCACATATCTTATTTTGAAGTTAAAAAAACAAACAGGACAAAAACACCTGGCGGGCTGGATAATGTCCTCGGAGGGCCGCATGTGGCCCGCGGGCTGTAGTTTGAGGACCCCTGATGGTGACTGAAAATACCATGGCCTGAGTCAGGCTCACCTTAGCCCTCAAATAACATCTGCTTTCTAACTCTGAAGAGGGCTCATGCAGCAGATTTACCCAATGTGTCCATTTGTTCTTCTTAGTGCTACTTCCATGAGCACAGAATGTGGATCCAGCAAGATGGAATCCTTGAAAACTGCAACCTTTTCTCCATTATCATGATGTTACTGATAGTCCAGTTATGAGGGTTTTGGTCTTCTTTACATCAGTTGTAATCTATACTGAAGGATGTAATCCTTGATCTTCATTAGCAAGTGCTTCAAGTTCTCTTTACTTTCAGCAAGCAAAGGTATGCTCCCATCTGCATATCAAAAGTTAATGAGCCTTCCTCCAATCCTGATATATTCATCTTCATTTAACCAGCTTCTGTGAATATGTGCTTAGCATATGGATTCTCTGGGGATTGTAAATGGGTAAGTGCTGGATTACTAACTAAAAGATGGGCAGCTCAAACCTACTCATAAGAAAGGCCTGGTGATCTGCTTCCGAAATGCCACCACCTTGAAAACTCCATGGAGTGTAGCTCTACTGTGCACACAGTCACCACGCGCCAGCAGCTAATATGAAGATCATCACCGCCACATCAGAAACTAAGAAAATGGAGTGGAAAAACAGCCCCCTGAAATCCTACCAATATTAACATTTGTCATCTTAGCGCATTATGTTGCTTGCAGTCTGCACTTTCCATTCAATGTTACATCATGAGAATTTCCCTGTGACATTAAACATACAAGGGCTACTTGTAACATTAGTATTGGTTCACATTCTATAATAAACCCTGAGATAGCCATATTTGGTTTTGTTGAATTTGTATTTGCCACTGCTAGAACTATAAAAGCAACTGTTTGGGTGCTTACAAATGGTATCTTGCTGACTCTCTCACTGTCTCACTCACTCACTCTCTCACTGCCTCACTCACTCACACTCTCACTGTCTCACTCACTCACTCTCACTGCCTCACTCACTCACTGACTCACTCACTCTCACTGACTCTCACTCACTCACTGACTCTCCCTGACTCATTCACTCACTGACTCACTCACTCTCACTGCCTCACTC